TCGGAGAGGTAAGGCGGGCCGCGGGCGGCTGGCGCGGATAACATGGCCGCTGCGGCCGGGCTGCGAGAGCCCCGACGCCCTGGAGTTTAAAAACAACCCCGCCGTGCTCAGGAGAGCGACGAGCCCGTGTGTTCTCGCTTCGTGTTGTTGTCAGCGGTCGGTGCGTTTCGGCGTGCGTACTGCACAAGAAGGGCAGAAATTGCGTGGCTTCTTCCGAGCAGCTTGTGGGCTCGGCGTTCAGGTCACGTCGGGGCTGAGATGCGGTAGCCTCTCGTTTCCCTTGTCGGGAGGAAAGCCTGCCGCACGCAGCCTGTCTCGTCGCTGTGAGAGAAAGCGTGCTTCCAGCAAGGCTGTCGGAGCTCTGCAGGAGGTGCCAGCCTGCTTACAGGGCGGCTGTCGCTTTGCTGGGCCTCGTTCACTTCGGTGAGATGTGTTTACTACGTAATTAGCCACAGAAGTTCCAAGTCCTCTGAAAAAGTCTATGAGAAACATCCCCGACTGATTGGAAGGCCACAGGAAAAAGGGTTGTTAAAGTTTCCTTGGTGACTTGTACTGCACTGAAGGGCACGGCTTGTCACCTAACCAAATCGGTAGTCTCTTTCCAAGTTCTTAAAGATATTTCATAACAGAGAATTTCATACTACTTTTTTCTGGAGTGTGTACTGACACTTTTACTAGTACATTAGGTCAAAACTAAAAGATAAAAACTACTCTGATAAACTGCAGTTGGCGGTCCCAATAAATCAAATAACTATTTTGGTCTAATTGCCTTCCATTTTATTGTTCACTTGATTGAGAATTTATAAAATCAGTTCTTTTCAGTGTGTGCAGTTTATAAGCTTACGCTTTTTTATTGTTACTTTTCCCTTTCTTTGCATAAAGATTGCAGTGATTATGGGTTTATATAGTAGCTTGAATACTGCAGTGCTAAATACCTCATTAGTCCTTAAAGAAGCTAGCTCTCATGCTGCATGAAAATTAATAAGTGCTATTCTGGGTCTTGATAACACCTAGTAGGAAAATAGAAAGTAATAAGGCTCAATACAGAGATATAAATATGCCCTGCACAGCATAAGAGACATTCCATGGTCTCTTTCTTTTAGCGATGAGGCATTATGGAAGCTGTTATTGGAATTTTTTCTTCTGCCAAAGTGTTACTTGAGCTGCAGACTAATACAAGAAGGTTTATATAAGAAAGCTATGCAAGTCTTACTGTCCTAGGTTGTAACTCCTACATTGTTTTCTGTCTGTTTCAGTGAAAGAAGCAGGAAGAGACTTCACGTACTTTATTGTGGTGCTTGTTGGAATTGGTGTTACAGGTTATTTTTAAAAATTATATTCTTTATCAGAAGACGCTTTTCATTAATTCCGTCTGGATTGATTAGTTCTCATTCCATTTGCTGTTGTTTTTTTTACAGGTGGTTTGTTCTATGTGATTTTTAAAGAGCTGTTCTCTTCTTCTAGTCCGAGTAAGATCTATGGAGATGCCTTGAAGAAATGCAGATCTCACCCCGAGGTTGGTTTCTGAACCTTAGTCATAAGGTTTATGTTTCTCCGTAGCTGCTGTCTTTCTTTGAGTCAAAAGTTTGCACAAGGAATCTTGCAAGCAAAGCTACAGGAAGACCCACGTGGTGCTTAGCAGGCAAACGCCAGCAGATCTGCATATGCTTTTGGCAGGCCAGAGGTGGATCAGCTCCAGCTTGGAGTCTGTATTAGGACAAGTTAATGCAAGCACTGAGCCTGAGTGAATTAGCCTGCTAAAAGCAAAGTTAAGTGAGCGTACCCCAGCACAACTGGTGCAGATACAGTGTCCACCCCTTCAGAGCACGTGCTTGTGTCTCCATACAGAAAGTCTTACAGACATACCTGAGTGACTCCTTAGGTAGCTGTGCAGGTCAGGGAGGCAACTGGTCCCACCTAAGTTTGGTAGATCTAGCCTGCTGCCTTTCCTCAGCACAGATGCGCTGTTGTGACACTTCAGTAGGGTTCTGTCATTCTGCGAAGCACTGCATAACTATCCAGGAGTTTAAACTCTTCATCTGAAATGTGGTTAGCATTCCTGTGGCTAACAGAGAAAGAGAACAGCCATGTGATCACACAGTCACAGAAGACAGCTAGAGGTGAACAAAAATCAGTCTAAAACTAGGTTCTGAAAACTGCTACTTCAGGCAAAACAAGAAATGCATGAAATAATAGCTTTCAAACAAAGTTGCCGCAGATGCCACTGAGGATAACCTAGAAATGAAGTGACAAGTTGTCACTAGAATAAAAATGAAGACTGCTTTGGAACAAGTTTGTAGAATTAAAACTTCTCTCCAGTATTTATACAGTAAAAATCACCCTCCCTTTCTAACCAGCTTTAAGTTTAACACTATGTTAATTTGGTCTGGTTTTATAGATCTGAAAAAAAAAAAAAAAGAAAAGTCATTGAATTTCTTAAACGCTGGGGTTTTTTAAACAATGTGAAGGGCAGTACATTTGCATTTTAAACTTCGAAGCATACCGTCTTGGAGGAGGGAGACAAAGATTTCATGCCTTTTTTTTCCATTTTACGCAAAATGTCAGTAAAGTATAAAGTACACAGTAAGAAGAGAGATTAAAATGTCATAATCTCAGAGGATGGTACAAATGGAAGATATTAGTAGGATTTATTTTAGGCATTTAATATGACGCTAAAGAAAAGCACTGAAATACAGAAGAATTTTCCTTACGCTGTTTTCTCTCATAAATTCTTTCATTCTTGACCCATCAGACTCACAAGGGGGCGTGAGCTGATACTGGAATATCTGTTTGAATGCGATGCCTTCTGACAACTGAAACCTCTTTTCTCTTTTAGATAATTGGTGTTTTTGGTGAATCTATTAAAGGTTATGGGGAGGCAACAAGAAGAGGAAGACGACAGTTTGTCAGGTGCCCTTTGGTGTTTGCCCCATACAGACATGAGTTTGGCACAGCAAAGACATTTTGGGTCACATCATAGCAAGTTAGATGTAGGTTAACGAACTGTATGTGACGTACCTTGGAACTTCTGAGTGAAAACCAAAGCGGTTTTTTGCAGTACCTCTTTGTGGCACATACCACTAAATACAGTGCCTATAAAACTCCAGTTCTGAGTGCCTCAAAACAAGCGGAGGTCAGCATGGTAAACGTAGAACTAGCCTCTCAGAGAAACAGGACGAGCCTGAAGAGAGTAGGACAGAAGCCTAGGCATGCATCTGGGGGGCGGGGACCTGGCTGATTGTCTGAAACCTTCAAATACAGTCAAATTGGTTTTGAAAAATTGTTCATTGAGAGTTTTTCCTCCTTTTGAAGCAGTAGTTCTTATCAGGCCAGAAAAAGCAGGAGGTACAAACTTCCAGACTTTCAAGAATCCAGCTTGCTCCATTTAAAGCTAGGCTAGGTCTGACTCTACAGGGTGTAGTCACTACAGTGACAACACCGTCCCACGCTGATATGCGGTAGTGATTGCCCATTTCTTATATTGATTCTTGGCACTTGAGGCCACATCTCTACTGCGTGTTTAATACAACATCTCTCACCTAAACCTTTTGTGAGTGCGTCTATTTATTATTCTCCTTTTGAGGGAAACAACGGAACTAATTCTTACAAAATGTAAATCCTCGCTGCACTGTAACTCAGTAGGGGCTTTGTCTTTATTGGGTTCTTAGAGTTGAATTTTTTCAAGGAGGTGTCATGTAGGGTGGGACACATAAGCCCAGATACCCAACTTGAACCATGAGATAGAGACATTTTTTTCCAGGTGAAGGTGATTTTTACTGGTGGAAGTTTATCTTTTCACTAGACTGTGAAAAAGTGTTAAAAATGGAGCTGCTAAACAAAAAGGATGTGCACAAACGTTTTAAGCATCTGTCTGTGAAACAAACTATGTAAATAAGTTAGTGTACTATCGGCTTCCCTAGTATTTCATTTCCATCATTTTCAAAGTCTAATATTTTAAATAAATTTTTGAGCTGAGAAGTTTGCAAGATTGTAGCGTTTGTGTCTGCAGTGTAAGGATGACCTTAAATGTCTCAAAAATGCACAGATTTTTTTTGTGTATGAACAACTGGAATATGAATTTACTGCAGTAAGGCTCTTCATTCATCTTTGTTCTCTGTAACCCATAATGTTACCTTAAACTGTATTGGAAGTTTAGTTCACAGTGTGTATCTGGGCATGACTGATGGAAATAAGAGCCTGGTAGTATGCAGCAGTCAGTAATTTCAGTAGGAAACATAAACTGGCACCAGAACTCTAGTTTGACCGTTAGTTTCTGTAAGTGGTCGCCTTGAAAGTGACATGACCTTTCTATTTATCTAATATTTGAGCATAACCTAACTCCAGTCTAAATATCAGCATTTTGGCTGGAGATCTGGTATCAGTGCCAAAATTACACTTCAGCAGAACAAAATTATTGCCAAAATAAGTAAAGCATATAGTAAACTGTTTCCTTGTGATTTAACCAAGCTGAAAATGAAGTTGACAAAACATTCTTTGTGTGGTTTGGCCTGGTGAGTTAGTTTAAGTGCCTCAAAAACCCCCTGGCAGTCTTGGTGATGTGGGTGTTCCTTTCGAGACGTCAGGCACTGAATCTCAGGGGTTCTTCAGAATAAATGCAAGGAAATTCCAGAACCTTCAGCCATTGGATTGCTGTTGAGTTTTGAGAGGAGGACTGGGGTGAGGACGTTTAAGCACTTCATCTGTTAATTCTCAGCTGCCAATTAGTTCTTCTAACTCCACTACTCCTTATATGTTCATAGTAACACTTGGAAAGAGCAGTAGAGAAGGAACACATGGTAGCATAAGGACTGCATCAGAATACCCTTTCTCACAAAATAGTTAAGCAGCTCCTCTAAATAAGGAGTGTAAATTTGAAGTTTAACTAGCATATAATGTGTATCCTTGCTGGGTGTGGTTTTTTTTTGTGTTGCTGTTTTTAGCCACATTGAGTATGTAAAGGATGGACTGAAATATATGCGTTTGAAGTTCTATATAGAGGGCTCTGAACCAGGGAAGCAGGGAACAGTCCACGTGGAAGTCAAAGAGGTATGTGCAATTGTTTGATAGAGCTGACAAGCTTAAAGTTGAGTTTAAACTACCAAAGAGGAAAAAACAGAACCTGAAATTGTTTCCTTTGCAGAATCCTGAGAGTGGAAGATTTGAGGTCCGCTACATATTTGTGGATGTTGACACCTATCCTAGAAGAACCATTGTCATAGAAGATAACAGATAGCCGATTGTCAAAGTTGCTGCCTCATCTCTTTGAGTATTGGATGATACCAGTGTAGCCAGTCTACACATGAATTGTTCCGTGTTCTCGATTGTATCTTGCAGCTGTGGGGTTGCGTTGCAGGATGTAGCCTCTCAGGGTCTCCATTAAGGTCTTTCCTAATAACAGATGCAGCATTTGGACTGAAGCCAGTGAAAAACAGTAGAGCCATCACTTATGGCAAATACTTTTGACACAGGAAAATAATGGCTCGTAATAAACAGTTTCATGCTGGATAATACTTCTACACACCCAAAAACTGAGTCTTCCAAGATTTTAGGTTTGGATGGGAAGGGTTTTGTCTTTGCTTGGATTTCCTACTAGCACTTCAATAAAGAAAGCGATATTTTAAGTGTAGACAAATTCACTGTTTTCATTCTGGGTGCTTTTGTGTAGATAAGAAGGTAAAATAAGAATATGTTAGTGATGAAGGGGGTTCTGCCCCAAAGGCATGTAAGAATATGAATTGTGGAGACACACATCCATGGCAAATGACTGAAGATAAAGACTTCAATACTGGTATCTTCTAAATAGATTAACGGCACACAGAGCAGCAGTGCTGTCTGCTCCTTCCCATCCTGGCCATGCTGCTCCTCGAACTAATGGCAGCATTGTAGCTGCTCAGCACGGCCCACGGTTTTTCCATTAATGTAACTAATCTAACTCTGGGAATCAGATTCATACAGATTTATTCAAAAGCTCAACTCGTGACCAAATTTCTCACCTGGGCTTCTTCCTTAGTGCAACATGGCAGATGGCAGGCATAACCCTGTGTATCAATAGTCGGACTCAGTTGTGCCCATCTGTCAGTCAGCACCAACCAAAAGAATTTCAGGTTTTATCTTCTTGCATTTAACCATTTCCTTGTTTAAGGAATTAACTAATGCATTTTTTCTGTAGTTATGTTACGAGCTTTCTAGTTCACTAGTGAATTATCCCTATGTTAAGCACACACTGATGTTCAGTTATCAGCCCTTATTATGAGTTTATTTAATGGTACATTTGGACTGTTGCAAAGTTCATACAATATTCTCTCATAGAATGCCACAAATATCATATATACACCTTTAGTAATACTTCATTGGACTTTAGCCATCCCGTTCACGTGTCTCCCTGTAATCTCATTTGCATAATCGTAACAACTAAATATTTTGTTAGACCTGGATAGCTTTGCTTTATATTAATCACTGCAACCTTGACTTCAGTCAGATCCTCATATTGTTTGAAAGTATTCACTGGAGAGGAATCACACCTTCATCCCAGTTTGTGAGCAGAGCAGCCACCAAACTGCGAGGCATTCTGGGGTTTCTACACTCTGTGCAATGTAACTGACTGCTACTGTGCAGGCCAAAGGGACTTTACACAGCTTCGGACGTGAATTGAGACTGACTGAGGAGATTTCACATCCGTTAGTTTCAGCAGAGTTATAAATTTGTCTGCTTTATTTCATCCCTGAATGGGTGCTGGTCAAGACTAACAAGCCCACAACTTTACACATAGTCAGAAGCTATGGAAGTCTGTGTCGGTGTCTCCCTGTTGTAAGTATGAGAAATCGTTGTGGTGCTTGATACATCTCCATGAAGTAACTTTGATAAACTTTTATTTTTACCAGCAGTTACTGACATCATTAATGTCTGTTGGAAAAGTGTCTTTAAGTAATGAATAATGAAATGTTGAAATAATGAATGATAGCAATTAACTCCCACTGTTCTTCATGTTACTTTCTTGAAAGCGGTAGAGTCAATACCACCTTTGGACTTAGGACTTACGCTTATGACTTTTCCCAATTCTTAGCATTACTCTTGCCAAAACTTTTGTTTCAGAAGAAATTTTCAAACCAACTTGATTGATTTATAAGCCAGTAAAAAAAATGGAAAATGTCTGAGGCGCTCATTGTTTCAGTGCAACCTGCTGTGTTACATACCACGTTTACCTGCCAGCACTTACATCCAGTTGCTGTAAGCATGTGTCATACCATGGCGTTACTGAAAACTGCCTCTGCGAGAGTTTTGTCACGAATGCAAGATGGGGCAGGTTTGTCAGAGCACATCACAAATTTTGCAAGCTATGTAAGTTTATAATCTAATATTAAGATTACTAGCCTTAAGCCCATACTATAACTTGATAAAAATGTAATTGTGCAGCTTTTACAAAGCAAGACCATATAAAAATACCCAGTTTAAACAAGAAAAGGTAATACTAACATTGCCCGCCTTTTATGAGTTTCTGCCATATCAAACTGCCTGAAAGCTGTTGTAAACCTCTATGTCAACATCAGAACTGACAGGCTAGGTTTTCTCCTGTAACTGTGCGTCCCGGCTTTGCTTTCGTATTCATCCAGCTGTGGCTTGTTTTCAGTGGGCTTCACTGGTGGAGAAAGGAGTAATTCCTAAAGCAAGATGTAAAAAACTTTTTTTATAATAAATGGTATAGGTACAGCAAAGAGGCCCACTGTTAGGTTTACTTTTGTCTTGTTTTAAAGCCTTGTTTGCACTGAAGAAAGAAAATGTCACAACTAGAAACTTTCTGGGAAGGAAAAGATGATGACCTCACACAATGATGTTTTTCCAGCAGTACAGGTACGTGAAACTCTGTGTCAGGCTTGTGGGAAAACAGCAAGAATTGGCCATTGGGGTTGATGTGTATGTTTGGCTTCAGCTTGAGAAGACTAAGATTTTGATTATTTGCAACCAGATTTATTTATGGGTCTTTTCAGTAGCAAGGACTTCCTAACATACACAGAAATATAATGTATTTCAAGGGTTGTGTGAAAGAACTATTTGGAAATAGATCCCTGGTTGTTTGGTCCTTTTGAGACATCCAAATAGAAGTTTTTAGGTGTCTGTAAAGCTGTCAGTACCAAAGTTCTTGCACTAAATGCCCTTGTCACACTTGGGCGTTTGTGTCAGGCCTCGCTCCCTAACTGGGAATAAATGCTACAATTACAGGTGTCAAAAGACGTCTCAGCACAGTCAACATAATGATTTTGGCTGGCTCTTTGGCAACCAGTCCAGACCCGTATGGGAAAAATGGAGACAGACAAAAACTGGCAATAAGGAAGACACATGGGTATAATTTAAAAAGACACGAATGTGGAGTTGTCCGCAGCGCAACTGACCTTCGCGATTTCTCCATCCTGCTATGACTGGCTAAAAGCAAAGTATGAGTCTCTCTTTTACGCACTACATTTCAAGAAACTGGAGAATCCAGAGAAACGAGTCAGGGGATTACTTTCAAGCTTATTTTTTGTCAGGGTAGCCCCAGTGTGACAGGGTTGTAAATAAAATGTTTCTCATCCTGTACTTAGATGAAGTGCACTGTTGTCATTTTCACAACTCATCTTTCTCCTGTGGAGTTGCAAGAAAGCAGGTGGGTGAACACACTTGCTCAAAGCAGCAGGACACACAGCCATAGTGGCACCCTCCATGCGCTTCGTAACAAACGAAATATCTCACAGGCTGGAAAGAAGCTGCAGTGGAGGAGTGTATCGTATATAAATCATCTTTGTATATCATCCTGCTTTGTAAATAGCAAAACAGTAGAAAGGGAGGATACTATTTGCTTCTAAAAAGTGGAAACATTAAATTTTTGTTATAAATGTAAAATTGTAATTATCTCCAGGAATTGCCAATTGCTCATTCCTAACTAGAGCTTAACCCGCTTTTATTTCGCTGGGAGTCCAAGGAACATAGCAAGTCAGTCAGTCCCCCTGTGATGAGAAGGGGTGCAGAGCCCTTTCAGGGTGCCTTCTGTCATCCTCTTTGCTGAAGTTGCGTTGCACGCCCTGTCATGGTTAGGTCTGAAAGGCATTCACAGGCTAGGGGAGCTATAACACTTGCAGCCCTATTTCTGACAGTCTTCTTTCCTCTTGGCCACCTCACTCAACATCATCACCCCCACAGAGAAAAGGGAGAAAGACCTCAGTATCTGTAATTAGCTTCTGACATTCACGTATTTATAATTGCTGACATGGGCTGTGCCCCTGGATGAATTGTGTAACAGAATCATAGAATCATAGAATGGCAAGGGTTGGAAGGGACCTTAAAGATCATCCAGTTCCAATGCCCCTGCCACGAGCAGGGACATCTTCAATTAGACCAGGTTGCTCACAGCTCCATCCAACCTGGCCTTGAACACTGCCAGGGAGGGGGCAGCCACAGCTTCTCTGGGAAACCTGCGCCAGTGCCTCACCACCCTCATGGGGAATAATTTCTTCCTAATATCTCATCTAAATCTTCCCTCTTTTAGTTTACAGCCGTTCCCCCTTGTCCTATCACTACACACCCTTGTGAAAAGCCCCTCTCCACCCTTCCTGTAGGCCCCCTTCAGGTACTGGAAGGCTGCTATAAGGTCACCCTGGAGCTGCCTTTCCTCCAGGCTGAACAGCCCCAACTCTCTCAGCCTTTCCTCATAGGAGAGGTGCTCCAGCCCTCTGATCATCTTCGTGGCCCTCCTCTGGACCCGCTCCAACACATCCATGGCCTTATTTTAGGGGTTGCGCAGTGCTAGTTACTCTCCTTTTGGCAAAAGGCCACATAAATAGGATTTTTAGCTCTAGAAATGTTCTCCTGTAATTTCAGGAGAATATTTGGTATTTCCTTTAAAGCTGCCTTTTCTGTGGGATAACCGAAGTGCCCAGTAAGCAGTGTACTCCATCAGTATACTTTGCTTTCAAGCCCTGTTACCAAAGTGCCAGCTAAATGCAACAGTAAGAGTCATGGGCATACACATACAAAATGTTCAAGAAGCCAAATAGTAGTGAGATCTTCACTGGTGTCTCTTTAAGAAAACTATTTTGCCCTAAATATTGTTACTTTAAAAATGTTCTGAAAAACACAATATTTCATTTAAACTTCTTTCCTTCCCATCTTGCCTATAAGTAGTATTCATTGTGATGTGTCCTCAGTCCGTGAAGTGCTCCTCATGATTTCTGTTTTACTGCCTACATCACCTCGCTAGCTAAA